GCACCTCAGAACAAATGCATCTTTTTCCGTCCGTTTGCACAATAATGACTTGCGGCGAAGTGAGCAGAGCACTGAATACAACAATGGCGGCAACTGAGCCTAATTCAACAGCCTGAGACGAGCTGTACGCAAATTGGTATTTGCAGACAATCTGTATGGCTCGATTAGCCGTAAAGTAGGTCAGCACCAGGCCACCCATAACGACAAATACCCAGTAGAAGAATCGACTGTACCAGACATAACATGCAATACGGTTGAAAACGTAATTGTCGGTCACCAGAGGAAATGGGTAGACGTCCTCTATGAAATTCATGAGGAGGGTCAGAAGTGCGGTGCAGGTGAGTGATCGCAGTAATGTTAGGCTAGTCAGTGTTTTTCCCCGCAACCGACACAGCATGTGAAGTACCCAAACATTTAGTGAGATGCCGATAACTTCGAGAATCAGATTGATTATATCCAACGCATCAGGCCAGTTTGCATTCGATACACAAACCCAAAAACTCAAATCGGTGGTCATAGTTCCCAGTGGGTAATTCGTCAGTGGAGGGTGTGTTTGTACTATTCTGCTCCAGTCGGCGCGTATTTAAATAGGTCATGCCTTCAGGGGAATGGTGCAATTCTACTACGCCTCCTCAGCCAATCACGTCGCGTCTTCTAGAATCTGCCAGTTCCAACATTGTGTCGTAGGATTCATACCATTCTTTATGAAACTCATGTAAAGTAAATGAATGCATAAATGTAAACTGAATGATTCAAATTGACAGCAGCGCACACTGCCTGATTTATATTTACACTACTGCGAGTGCTGCAAGAAACGTGCCTAAAAATGGTAAAAGTTTGATCATTACTCGCATCTTGGTGCGAACGCATTTACGAGAACTTCAAAATAATAATGAGCCGCATTTGGCATATTAAGTACTTAACGGAACAAGAATTACGAGTGCTCCAGCATGAAGCTTGTTTTAAAATCGCCGATGCTGACCCTGTCGATTTCATTGCAGCCCTAGAAGCCATGCTTG